ACCACCCACTTAATCCACATCAGTGGATTAATCCACTATTTAGATCAAGGTTATCATAGTGGAAATATTTCACCTATGAACATTTTTTTGTCATTGTCTAACACATAAGCATTGGGGGACACCTCATATCCAAACCTGAACATTGTGGTACACTATATAAAGGTATATTGTATGCCACTTAGAGTATACAGGTGGCATACACTGTGGTACAGAGCATGCAATATGCAGTATTCCTGTGTACACCGTATACAGTAAACACAGGATAGACTCTAGTCTACARTAAGGTGGCCTTCCTTCCCTAGCCATCACTCACGCATTCCAATAATCGTATTGGAAGATGATCAATAATATTTCTTGAGTTCTCAGCCGTTTATGCAATAGCAGAGCATGTTTTTATTTGATGTTCCGTGCTGAACTTCCAGCATCTACCCATGGACTTTTCAATGTCCGTTCTTGAGTGAGATAGAGAGTGCTCACTGGGTCAGCCCGAGTAGCCTCTGAAATCCAGAATCCTCTCCATCCCTCCTGTCCACATCGGGGGATAGTTTTTGTGCATTCATTCAATTTTATTTTTAAGGTCGTATCTCTGCTGTTCCGTGGAGGTGTTTTGCACCATTGCTGACCTATACCCCAAGGAGCAACACACTCCCCCCCAAAAATATTTCCAAACACTGTCCGTTGTCCCTATGGGACAAATGACCCGTGGTTTGAGATGGACCGTTTCAAAGTGATTTGAAATACCCAATTCGCCCGGAGGCATGGCATGGTCCAATGCCTTGAGTGTAAGAAATCCCATGCCTTGGAAAAGCAGGGAAATTGTGGGGAACAATTATCCTTCAGACCAAGAGGGACTTACCTTTGGTTTCAAAATGGTAGCTGCACCTTGGATCCAAGCAGAAGGGGCTCGGGTTGAGCTCAGCCATGATCATCGGGGGCCATGACCCTGTCACGGATCCCCACGGGGGTGGGTCGTGCCGAGATTTCCGTGGCATTGGAGGGTGACCTGGTTCCCCTAACCCCTGCTCCTTTCTCCGCAGGGATCCGAACCAGCCCGTCCCCCAGGACACCAAGTTCATCCACACCAAGCCCAACCGCTTCGAGGAGGTGGCCTGGTCCAAGTACAACCCCAAGGACCAGCTGTACCTGCACATCGGCCTCAAGCCCCGGGTGAGGGACCATTACCGGGCCACCAAGGTGGCCTTCTGGCTGGAGCTGGTCCCCCACTTGCACAACCTGAACGAGATCTTCCAGTACGTGTCCACCACCACCAAAGTCCCTCCCCCSGACATGACCTCGTTCCCCTACGGCACCCGCCGGTCCCCTGCTAAGATCTGGCCCACCACCAAGMGGCCGGCCATCACCCCGGCCAGCGGCCCCAAGCACAGCAAGGACTCGCACAAGACGGGGCCCGAGGACACGACGGTCCTCATCGAGACCAAGCGCGACTACTCCACCGAGCTGAGCGTGACCATCGCGGTGGGCGCCTCGCTGCTCTTCCTCAACATCCTAGCCTTCGCCGCCCTCTACTACAAGAAGGACAAGCGGCGGCACGAGACGCACCGGCGGCCCAGCCCGCAGCCGCGCAGCGCCACCAACGACATCGCGCACATCCAGAACGAGGAGATCCTGTCGCTGCAGATGAAGCAGCTGGACCACGACCACGAGTGCGAGTCGCTGCAGGCGCACGACACGCTGCGGCTCACCTGCCCGCCCGACTACACGCTCACCCTGCGCCGGTCCCCGGACGACATCCCACTCATGACGCCCAACACCATCACCATGATCCCCAACACGCTGACGGGCATGCAGCCCCTGCACACCTTCAACACCTTCAGCGGGGGACAGAACAGTACCAACCTGCCCCACGGACACTCCACCACCCGCGTATAGCTGCGCGCTCCCCTCCCCCACCCTCCCCCGCCCGCCCTCAGCGGTCCCCTGTCCCCTGCAGCCAGAGAGAAACAGAACCCGGCGCCCCCATCTCCCACCCAGGACCGAGGTTGGCATCCCCCAGGACTGAGG